GTTTTGCTGTAGGTTGGCAGGACTTGTTATAGTTTACATGGTATCTCTCTCCTCCAAACACACACACACTAATTAACATATGGTGATCAAGCACAGTTTAAATGGACTAGTCCGAGTGAAATTTGATCAGATGGTATACATTTTTTTATTTGAAAAATAATAACAAATTTAATTGAAAAAACTCGAAGATATAAATATAAAAAGTAGTTATTTTTATATTATGATTTTTAATCTCGAGAAAAGAATAAAATAGCATCGCTCTCTATCCCCCAATATAGATGCCGAGTGCGACATTCTACGCCGAAAACGTACCATTCGATCAAATCGAAAAGCTCGCCATTAGCGGAGGTTACTCCGCGATCTATGCAACTACAAAGCCCAGCGTTGATATTGTCGGAGACTGGCAGAACCGTTATTGCTCACTAGCTGACACCTTCCAACCCATCTTGGATCGTGTACATAATTTCGAGGTGCGTGAAGATGATGTTTGGATTGTAACAAGCACCAAATGTGGTACAACATGGGCACAGGAAATGACATGGCTGATTTTGAATAATTTCGATTTTGAAAAAGCAAAAATGGACGATCTCACCATACGTTCGCCATTTTTGGAGTAAGTGCGAGTGATAAAATCTTCAATATAAACTCCCTCAATGAAATATTTTAGATTCAATGGTGTTGTACCGAATGTTCCACATGACACAATAGAAGCCGCTAATAAATTGTCATCACCGCGTTTAATAAAATCTCACCTGCCCGCTTGGCTGCTGCCGAAACAAGTGTGGACAAAGAAGCCGAAGGTGCGCATAAAAAACTTAAAAATAAATCAGTAAAATATAATAAAGAAAACCCTCGACTTTCTAGATCATCTATGTGTTCCGTAATCCGAAAGACGCGGCTATCTCATATTTTCATCATTGGCGCGGCATGGTCGGTTATAAGGGCACGAAAGAGGACTTCATGCATTCTTACATTGATGGCCATGTCAACTTCAATCCGTTTTGGCCACATGTGCTCGACTTCTGGCAATTGCGCGATGAACCACAAATCTTCTTCACCAGCTATGAGCGCATGAAGCGAGACTTGGCGGGTGTCATCAAGGATGTGTGCAAATTCTTAGAGCGCGAAGTTCAACAGGAGCAGCTGACACAGCTCGTGGAACATCTTTCGTTCGACAAAATGAAGGATAATCCCGCGTGCAATCATGTCAAAGAGTTTGAGAGTATGAAGGCGGCAGCTGGTAGGGAGGTCGATGAATTTAGGTAAAATAGTTAAAGCTTTTAAATAGACAAGCAATAATAACAGTAAATTTTAAACATTTTAAAGCAGATTTGTTCGCCGCGGTATAGTTGGCAGCCATAAGGATGAAATGCCGCAGTCAGCTATACAAGAATTCGATGACTGGGCGGAGGATAACTTGAAGGGTTATCAATTGACTATCGATGATTTCATAAATTATTCGAAATACTAACTTTTCTCAACTTAAATTTAAGTTTTATACTTTTCGCACGTATTTTGTAAATACTATTTTATAATTGTAATAAAATTTATTTTAATCAAAGCCTTTTGGTATTTTCCAAAAAATCGTTTTATGAAGTTTGGAGAGAAACTTTAAATTTAATGGTAACCTAGTCAAACCTTTTCTATTTGCTGAATTTGGAGATGGGTCAGGAAATTTCTTTGATATTCGTATCTGAATTTTGGATTATCAGCTAATTGCAGTTTGCCTTCGACAGAAAATGAAAAACCTACTAGCATATTTCTGCCACGAAAAGACTTCTCAGTAAGGCGACCCATCGTTATAGCTCTCACCATATCTTTAATAATGCTATAACGAATAGTAGAAGAAGAGATGTGCAGGAGCCAAGCTTCGACTACTTGGTGCTTTGACTGTACCTTCGCCTTCGATGAGTCCACGTTTCTTGAATCTGAAAAGTAGTTATTTTTCGCCATGTATGACAATTCGAAGTAAGACAGAGCATCTTTTTCGAACTCGAAACTGAAGAACCTTTTACTAGAAACTCTTTCGTCGTATTATCATCTGTTCCGCTTAACTATGATAATATTTATACAATAATTTAATAATGTTTAGCAAGTTAAAATATAATTGCTTATTATTTAAAAAATAACTACAGCCAAGTGTCACGTAAAATATAAATTGCAATGAGTAAGGTCAGTCACGTTTTTTTATTTAACAGCAACATTTGAATTTTTAAGAGCTTCGTAGGTCATAGCACAATTTTTAATGTAATCACAGAAATTTAATCTAGAGCATATTAATATAATGTTATATTAACACTCTCTGTACAAACATATTGCTATGTAACAGAGCTTTTATTTCTTGCTATTAAAAAGCTTTTCTACTGAATTAACTTTTAGCTTTCAACAGTGTTCGCTCAACAGATTTACAACTACTTTTAAGATAATCAAAAAAATGTTAAAAATTTATCTGACTTTCGCAAGTGATTGGGCCAAAAACATATCTATATAAGACTCAGCAACCATGATGAGAACCGAAAATTTTGTTTACTTCTACTTCATCCACATCATTCTTTAAATTATTCATTGTTTTCTATACATTTTTTTCATGATTAAAAATTAGATATACAAAAAATCATATGTGATTGCAAACATATGGTCATATAACAGAGCTTTCATTTCTTACTGTCAAAAAGCTCTTCAATTGGAGCATGAAAATTTTAGAAATTAACCGTATTCTTTTATCAAATTTTGCAAATATATGACTGATTATAGCGATCCTCCAACTTCTTGATACTATTTTAATGATACAATTGGTATCTTTTTTAGAATAGGCCTGCCTCTAAGCAAATTCTTTTAGCTGGAGGCCAAATTCTGTGAATGCGATGGATGCGGAAGCAACTTGAAGCCAAATTCAAGCAATTTCAGAATCGAATTCTTTTATGAACATTGACATATAGGTTTTGCATTTGCATATATTCATGAAATATGTGTCCATTACGTTTCTTTAACATCTCGTCTAACTTCATTTTGCGGTCATACAAAATCATTTTGTAGAGCTTTTATGTTTTCGTCATTAACATTCGCAAATCACTGACGAATAGTAGCTACCCACAACGCAGAGCCGGGATAACACCACCAAGCCAATTTTTAGTATCAAAAAGATTTTTCTCTTCGTCAATCAAAATGTTACATCTCTCAAGCCAAAAGTCCGCTGTGAAATTTATACATGATTAAATTTAAAAAAATATATAGAAAAATAATAAAAAATGTTTTATTTGATTGAAATAACATTTATGTAAATTAGTAATATGCAAAAGAAGTTTTTACAGCGCAACTTCGCCATCAAGCAGAAGCAACTCATTTAAACTGAGTCCATAATAATCGAGATTACGTTGTATCATGTCGTCTAGTTTGGCGATAATATCTGCTGGCAATTCGTCCTTATAGCCGCCTGCCTTACCTCGGCGTACAAAACTATAAAAATGTTTAATTTTTATAGAATTAAAAAAATCATAAGATAAATATGACATACTTATTATCCTCATATTCGCTTTTAAATTTAGCACGCATTTGCTCGAACTCCCAGCGATGATTTACTTTGGGATTTTCTGAAAAGTGAAGGCGAAATAATATTCCAAAAGGTGTAATTCTTTATGCTCTCAAATACTCACTTTTCATCTCTTCGAACGACAGATGGTGCAACATTTTTTGCATTTGCTCTTCGTTGATCTCCTTATTTAGAAATTTGCAAATATCTTCAATAACTTGACGCAAGTTCAGTTTCATGCGCTCGAAACTAGTGTAGAATATCCACGGCTCTTTTCGTAGCTCATAAAACTCGGTGACGTGTTCAAAGTCTTCCGAAGGCACAGTGCTTTCTTCCTCTATGCACTCCAATGCAAATTCCTGCAGGGTAGTGACCTTACAAAAGCCGAGGCTGCGACTGTGGTAATATCGTGAAACAATGTAGTCTTTCGGATTGCGGTAAACGTAAATTAGCTAAGTAAATACACAGAAGTAAACAACTTAATTTGTGTTAATTAACATTAGAAAAAATCAACCTTGGGTTTCTTGATCCACAGCTGCTGCGGTAGTAGTGCCAATGGCATATGTGACTTGATGAGGCGTGGTGATTTAAGTGCCTCAGTTTGGTCGAGTGCATGGTCCAAGTCATTGTGTATCATATATTCAAATCTATTAAATGAAAATTAGTATATTTATTTTATAGTGTTGTACAAGCAACCGTTAGGTAAACAAATAGCTCACATATTTTAAAAGGTAACCATACTACTTTAGTATATACTAATTTCCAACATTATTTTAATTTGTGTTAGTCTAGATATGTAAAATTGTAACTACATTCAGATTTCATAAAATTAAAGATAAAATATATAAACAACATCAGTTGGCAACCCTGTGTAGCAAACTTAATATCAAGAATGCATTTGAATCAGAAGTACCATTCGAAGAAAAAGCATTTGATTATTGCCGACAAAACTAAAGATATCAAATTGTTTTATAACATATATACATACATTAGGGTGGACCAAAAAACGTATTTCTTTATTTTAAAAAAACATTGCAAAAATTATCCTTTACGATTTAAGATTAATGATCGGTAAATTCCCATTAATAATAAGTGAACTCAAACTTTACCAGAACTTTTTCTTCGTCATTACATATACTTGTATATTTGCACAGTCTAAGGAAACAAAATTATAAGCTTTTTTTAGGTCCACCCTATTAAGCATAAATATGTACATAGCTATATCTTATACACAAATGCTTGAGGTGGTAAACCGTTATTTGCTTCTAATTCCTCACTGCAGTCGAATTTAAAAGTAGTTGAAACTGACACCTGATGCACATACTAACATGCAACGACATACAGTTTTGAACTAAATACATGTATATGTTATACACATACAAATACTTAAATGTATGTATGTAATTAGTATGTCTCAAACGTAAAATTTTTCCAAAAGCTAACAACAAGTAATAACAGTTTGATATCTACATGTATACACACAACATACTGATAACTAACTTTAAGTCCCCGCTTCGCACACTTACTCCAAAAACGGTGTTCTCACTTCCAAGTGCTCACTGCGTGCCGCCTCAAAGTCAAAGTCGTACAAGACCAACCACAGCAATTCTTGCATCCAAGTTGTGCCACATTTCGGCAGCGTCACAATCCATACATCGTCGTCTCTCACCAGCATATCGTGTACCTTATCGACAAACCCCTGACCGCACTGCTCCGATAACTTTCTCTTTGTCCAATCTTTTTGCAGCAAATTGTTGGGGAATGCTTTCGGTTGTACTATTTCATTATCCATTTTTGTTTATGTAAATATGTGTATTTATAAATGCAAAAAAATCACTGAGTTGAAAAATCTATTTGAATACTGTTTGACTATTTGGTGTCTTGTCTCTCTAAAAGTCGATTTACTACTAGCATATTTGAATACGAAGTCAGGCTATGATTGCAGTGTGGTACAATTGCTTCTACTATCAACAGTTGTTTATGAGTGCATCTATATACATACATATGTATATATATATATATATGCGTATGTGCGTTGATTGTTAGTAAATTACGCGTAGCATTAAGGTGTGTCATTTATACGGATCCCTTTGTTGAGCTGCAAATCGAATGTATACAATTCTATACCTGTTCACTGAAAAGTAAATTAATCCGAATATTAATAACAATTTGAAACTTGCACCATTTCTAAATCGAAGAGAGAGAAGAAGAACATTTTACTCTGTTATTAGAACATCTTTACTTATAATATATGAAAAAATTACGAACTACTACCAAATTTTAGTGTTTATTTCCTCATCGTATATGAAAAATAAAATTGTTTTTCATTTAAAAAACTAATCCGAAGAATATTTGTCGCGCCCTAATATATATTTCTTATGGGTAGGTTTATATTAATATTGACTTACAACACATGCATTGGCACACATATTATATATTAGATAGCACTGTTAGGCTAATTTTAACATTATAAATAGGTTATACGAATATAGCAAAGTAATAAAAAATGCATCATACATACATATGTATATACATTTGCTTCAAAGCGAAGCGATTTTGACAATCAAATGCAGTCACATTTGTATATGATTCGAATGCCTCGGTTTTTGTTTTTATTTTCGGTATTTATATTAATCTTGGGATTATGCCAAATATATTATATATACAAGTAAGATGTCCAGGGAGCCTTATCTATTGTAATTGCATATAAATATATAAAAAAAAAAATGAAACCGAGAGTGAACGAAATAATTTCAACATTATCAAGTATGAAAACCATACATGCATAAAAATAGTGCACTCGAGCAATCAAATCTTCTCTTTTCTTTAATTTCCACTCTTGGAACTCAGTTAATATATCTACCGATTCTCGGGAACGATTTGTACATCGATTCTATGACTATAGCCTAGAAGTGAAACTCCAACAATTTGGTTCGAAATTGGCGCCAGGCAAGGCAAGAGGTTTGAGAAGCTTTGGTAAATTCAATATTTGTCATATAAGCGCCAAAGACGATGAATCCAAGATACTTCGAAACAAAAACACCGTTAATAAACACTTTACAGGTACATAAATGATATGAGGAGATATGTGTATTTTGATCAGTCAGTTTATAAGAATTTTCTTAGGGAGAAATGGGCGTGTGCAAAATTTCTGATCGATATTTCAATAACAGATGAACAGAGGTGCAAACAGAGGGATAGGCAAAGTCGACTTAGTTCGGCATGCCGATCATTTATATATATACCTTATAGGAACTACGACGTTTCCTTCTGGGTGTTACAAACTTCGTGACAAACTTAATATACCCTGTACAGGGTATAAAATGCGGTTATGGATGAAATTTTTAAAAATTTCACAAAAAGATTTTGAATGACTATAAAGTGAAGTTGATCGAGACGACTAAAAGTTTAAAAACGTAAAAAGAATGTATTGGAGAAATAGTTTTGAGTATGTGGCTATGCGAAATCTCTATGAAAAGTAGATGCCGCCCGAGATCACAATCGTTCAGTTCACCGTGTCATAAATAGATTAAATCGTTTGTGAAATTGTATGAATTGAGTTTTTAAATGCTTGGAAAACCACCTTTTTCTCCGGATGTGACCTCCACCGATTTTTTCTTTTTCTCAAACCTCGAGTGCTCGCTGCGCTAGGAAATTACCAAGGATGTGGCCCATTTTGAAGCGAGGGATCCAAATTTTATAAGATTGGTTTTGCCATAAGGATGAGGTCATTTTGCCCTAGTGACAACAGATGCTAAATCGCTGGAGGATATAATACAAAACCAGCTGTAAGTAGTAAGGGAAAACTGAGACGACTTTTGGGTCAAAAAACAAAAACTTCATAGTTTACAACTCTTGCAAAAAAACTCTATAATCTACAAATATAAAAAGTCATGCGCTCTTTTTCGTTATTTTTTTACTTTTTTCTTTAGTATAAAAAATAAATTATAAAATTGTAAATGATTATAATTTATGCTAAATAACTGAAAATGCATTTGATGAGCCATTTGAATAAGTATGAGAATTAGAGAATGGAAAACAGTCTGTTTTTACCGAAGCCGTAGGAGTGACTTAGGCGGTGGTGGTCTCGATTTTCTTGGCATTATCTTCCTTCGAGGATGGGCCAGTTTGTGAGATTGGCACCACGCGTTCAGTGGCAGGAGGAGGCAGCTTCTTCATGGGAGCGGTGATGGTGAGAAGACCGTCCGAGGACAAGGATGAGGTCACATTGTCGGGGTTCACGTCGCCTAAAAAATTAACAACATAATGGAAATTAGTATAATAAATATTTCAAATATAAAAAAAAAACTTTAAATCTGGCACTTACTTGGCAGCATATAGCGTCTGGAGAACTGTCTGGAAATAAAACCATGCTCATCCTGGCGCTCCTCGTGTTTACCTTCAACGAGTACAAACTTGTCGGTCACCTTGACGGTAATCTCACTGGGTGTGAATTGTTGTACATCCAAAATCACTTCAAATTTCTCATTGTCGATATTCAAAGTGGAACCAGATTCCTGCTTCTGCAAGCTGGTGGGTGAGCGTTGCCATGGCCGCAAGTAGCCGGAACGCAACATTGTTGGACGGGAGTTCCAAACGGATGACAGCAAGTCATCGCGTCTATAAAGAATTAGAGAATTGGATTAAAATTTGTTACATCATTGATGAAGGACAGCAGTGGTTCTTGTGTATTTTTTTGCTACCTTAGCCCAGTGCCGAAATGCTGGTCCAAGAGGCGCGAAGTGCGCGTTGGAATTTCGAAATCATCCCACCAGTCACGGAACATTAGTGGCACTACTGACATCTACGGTTCAACGACGAAATCCAAAATTTGTGGTGTACAATGACACGTGTGGCAGTTAAATGGAAAGTAGAGAAGAACACTTATGGTAATTAATAAAATCACCACGAAAAGTTCATTATTATTTATGAATTCAAGCCGAAAAAAGCACTTTTAAATAATTTAAAATATTTTTAAATTTTTTATTATATTTTTGGTTTAATAATTTCCAATAAAATTCTACAGTTATTCACCTTTTATTTGAACTTAATGAAAATAATATAGTTTCACGCTTTTTTTGGTACTTCCGCGATTTTTCACGATTTTCCGCTCGTTCTCGTCTTTGCTGCTACGCGTTCGCTGCGATTTTGAACTGAAAAATTTCGGCGCTCGTTCATTTTATATGCCGGCGAGATTGTTTGTGTTTTCGATCATTTTAGCCGATTTTCAAGATGATTTTCGTTTAAAAATATTAAATGAAAAATTTTGTCGCTATTTTTAGCGAAGCGTCATTTCATGTTGTTGGCTTCTCACGCAAATACACATGAATGCCGTTGTTTGGGAAATTAACAGCATGCGTGGGTCAACGGATATATCAGTCTAATTTATTAATTGAATATGGTGATAAAATTTATAAAGTTCTGCGGTTGAAAACTCTTCGATTTTTTATATGAATGTTGAGGGATTTTGATTGTGTTTGTGTATGTAGGTTTTGAAAAAATTCGAATTTCGAAAATAAATTAATGTATTCAATACTTTTTTCGTTAAATTTGCGTTGATAAAAACTAGGTTAGGTTAGAGGGTCGATCCTAAGAAGGATCACACTTGGACAGCTTAAACGCCGGTCCGTTGTGGTACCCAAAACTCCTATGAGCCGGATCAATAGACCCTTACATGTCGACAAAGCGCTTTGTGCCTATGACAAACTTGTTGAGACGGCCAATATCTGTTTCGGCCAGATCTTCTGGTCCGCCAAAAGTGTGATTGCCGAGTTGTTTCAATCTCAACCTAGCAAAAGCCGGACAATGGAGGAGAAAGTGCCGGGATAAAAACTAACTATCTTCCAAATAAACCTCTGCTTAAGTTTTCCAACCAAAATTCGTCGAAAGAAGTTTGTATGATTTTCGCGTAACGTCAATAGGTGAATCTTATAGGATCAATACATTTAAGTTTAAGTATCTTTATCTTAGCAATCAAAATATTCTAGAAATATTTCAACAAAAATTCACAAACAATAATATTTGCACACGCACATGCGTGTATGTACATATGTAGCTACATTTGTGTGTATGTATATTAAAATAATTCATATAGGTTATTGCTAAGCTTTTGCTTTGCTTTTTCCTAATATCTAAATGTAATTTAAAGGTGAATTGTTTCGGGTCGGAAGTAAGATATTATTAAATATCTAAAAATGTGGGCAGATATTTATAAAATTATGTTCTACTTCCCGTGTCCATACATACATATATGCTATCATTAACTTATTTCTGAAAAACAAAAATTTATTTTACTGGCTAGATAAAATTATTAGCAAATCTTTGTTAGCCTTTTTCCATTTCTAGTTCATTCCAAATGTTTCAGTGTTTATTTATGTACACACATACATACGTGGGTGTCACGATAAACTCAAGTTACCTCATAAAAAAGCACATTTTTTTATTTGCGGAAAATTTATCTTAATATATTTTATTTTATTTATAGCATGTGCCTGTTTGTAAACAAATATACTGTGCTTATTTTAAACCGACATATTTAAATATATATATATTATAACATAAATTTCCAAATTTGGAAAACACATTTTTCATTTAACTTCTTACTAAAGAAGAATGGGTTCGGAAACCCACTCGAAATATACCTCAACCTTGGGGGTGTTTTATGCGATGAGTTCAAAAATTCAGCAGTCTCCATGCATTACAATAACGCCGCTTGTCTCTGTGAAGAAAGGCGAGTTCAAATAAATCTAAGCTTTTATTATCTATATTAAATAGTTCATTATCGTATTTAGTATTAATTCATAGTTAAGAAAATATTACTATATGTAGCGAATATCAGAAAATCTATTACTTCTATATTTATGTCCTGGAAAGTGTAAACTCGATAATCAGTAAAAGAAATAAGGGCTAACAACCCAATAAAGAGGCATATAGTCTTAACTTCTTCTCTCTAACTCACAATCTTCGAAAGAATTTTGCCTAATATAACAATAATTCATTTATAGTACACCAATTAGAAATGATATAGTCGCCAGATTCAATTTCAATGTATTAGTCCTATCTATTGGGGGTTATATCCACTTGTGAATTAAAAATAACGATTATTTGCACATATATCAAATTTATATAAATATTTGAGAATATTTTCAAAACTTCAATGATCGTCGTATACCATAGTTTCGGAGGTTTAGAAAATTTTCCTAACTTAGTGAATTCTCCAAAATTTTAAACTTTTTCTCGAAACGATTTTCAAAGCCGGTGAAGAATTTCATCAGTTGAAACATTCGACATGAGCTTGTTAGGTATATTTATCAGATAATGGTCGAGGAAATAATATCTCTGATGAAATTTGAAATTTTTCACAAAACACGATTTTTGGGTAGGCAACATTTTCCCAAAAACAAAATTTTGACAAGTTCTCGATTATTACCTGTATTCATCTATGGTAATAATACTTTTATTTGAAGTTTGAATTTGAGTTAATTTTAAGTAGAAAATCTTCTTCGCTGCAGACAAATTTTTCGGAGCTCCTCCTAAAATCTGCTACGGATCAAGAAATTAACTTTTCAAATCTTCATCGATTTTAAAGTAAATTAACTTTGTAAATGTATTTTTATTTATTTAAAAATATAAAGGCATTATTCTATTATTAAAGTAAAAATTACGAGAAAAGCATAATTTTTACTTGCACGTGGATATAATGTCTTATGAAAAGTTGGAGACCCTAAAAGCTTGCTAAGATAAAGATACTTAAACTTAAATGTATTGATCCTATAAGATTAACCTATTGACGTTACTCGAAAATCATACAAACTTCTTTCGACGAGTTTTGGTTGGAAAACTTAAGCAGAGGTTTATTTGGAAGATAGTTAGTTTTTGTCAACGCAAATTTAACGAAAAAAGTATTGAATACATTAATTTATTTTCGAGATTCGAATTTTTTCAAAACCTACATACACCAACACAACTAAAATCCCTCAACATTACGAGAAAAGCATAATTTTTTACTTGCAGGTGGATATAACGTCTTATGAAGATTGGAACCTAAAAGCTTGCTAAGATAAAGATACTTAAACTTAAATTTATTGATCCTATAAGATTCACCTATTGACGTTACGCGAAATCATAAACTTCTTTCGACGAATTTTGGTTGGAAACTAAGCAGAGGTTTATTTGGAAGATAGTGTTTTATCGGCACTTTCTCCTCCATTGTCCGGCTTTTGCTAGGTTGAGATTGAAACAACTCGACGCATCACACTTTTGGCGTATGAAATAGACGAGCGCCGAAATTTTCAGTTCAAAATCGCAGCAATGTAGAACCTAAAGACGAGAACAGCGAAAATCGTGAAAATCCGGAAGTACCAAAAGCGTGAAACTATATTATTTTCATTGATTCAAATAAAAAGGTGAATAACTGTAAATTTTATTGGAAATTATTAAACCAAAATATAATAAAATTTAAAAATATTTTAAATTATTTAAAGTGCTTTTCGGCAATTCATAAATAATAATGAACTTTCGTGGTGATTTTATTATACCATAAGTGTTCTTCTCTACTTTCATTTAACTGCCACGTGTCATTGTACACCACAAATTTTGGATTTCGTCGTTGAACCGTAGATGTCGTGGTGCCACTAATGTTCCGTGACTGGTGGGATGATTTCGAAATTCAACGCGCACTTCGCGCCTCTTGGACCAGCATTTCGGCACTGGGCTAAGGTGCAAAAATACACAAGAACCACTGCTGTCCTTCATCAATGATGTAACAAATTTTAATCAATTCTCTAATTCTTTATAGACGCGATGACTTGCTGTCATCCGTTTGGAACTCCGTCCAACAATGTTGCGTTCCGGCTACTTGCGGCCATGCAACGCTCACCCACCAGCTTGCAGAGCAGGAATCTGGTTCCACTTTGAATATCGACAATGAGAAATTTGAAGTGATTTTGGATGTACAACAATTCACCAGTGAGATTACCGTCAAGGTGACCGACAAGTTTGTACTCGTTGAAGGTAAACACGAGGAGCGCCAGGATGAGCATGGTTTATTTCCAGACAGTTCTCCAGACGCTATATGCTGCCAAGTAAGTGCCAGATTTAAAGTTTTTATATTTGAAATATTTATTATACTAATTTCCATTATGTTGTTAATTTTTAGGCGACGTAACCCCGACAATGTGACCTCATCCTTGTCCTCGGACGGTCTTCTCACCATCACCGCTCCATGAAGAAGCTGCCTCCTCCTGCCACTGAACGCGTGGTGCCAATCTCACAAACTGGCCCATCCTCGAAGGAAGATAATGCCAAGAAAATCAGACCACCACCGCCTAATTCACTCCTACGGCTTCGGTAAAAACAGACTGTTTTCCATTCTCTAATTCTCATACTATTCAAATGGCTCATCAAATGCATTTTCAGTTATTTAGCATAAATTATAATCATTTACAATTTTATAATTTATTTTTATACTAAAGAAAAGTAAAAATAACGAAAAAGCGCATGACTTTTATATTTGTAGATTATAGAGTTTTTGCAAGAGTTGTAAACTATGAAGTTTTGTTTTTGAAAAGTCGTCTCAGTTTTCCTTACTACTTACAGCTGGTTTGTATTATATCCTCCAGCGATTTAGCATCTGTTGTCACTAGGGCAAATGACCTCATCCTTATGCAAAACCAATCTTATAAAATTTGGATCCCTCGCTTCAAAATGGGCCACATCCTTGTAATTTCCTAGCGCACGACACTCGATTTGAAAAGAAAAATCGGTGGAGGTCACATCCGGAGAAAAGGTGGTTTTCAAGCATTTAAAACTCAATTCATACAATTTCACAAACGATTTAATCTATTTATGACACGGTGAACTGAACGATTGTGATCTCGGGCATCTACTTTTCATAGAGATTTCATAACATACTCAATATTTCTCCAATACATTCTTTTACGTTTTAAACTTTTAGTCGTCTCGATCAACTTCACTTTATAGTCATTCAAAATCTTTTGTGAAATTTTAAAAATTTCATCCATAACCGCATTTTATACCCTGTACAGGGTATATTAAGTTTGTCACGAGTTTGTAACACCCAGAAGGAAACGTCGTGTTCCTATAAGGTATATATATAAATGATCGGCATGCCGAACTAAGTCGACTTTGCCTATCCCTCTGTTTGCACCTCTGTTCATCTGTATTGAAATATCGATCAGAAATTTTGCACAGCCCATTTCTCCCTAAGAAATTCTTATAACTGACTGATCAAATACACATATCTCCTCATATCATTTATGTACCTGTAAAGTGTTTATTAACGGTGTTTTGTTTCAAGTATCTTGGATTCATCGTCTTTGGCGCTTATATGACAAATATTGAATTTACAAAGCTTCTCAAACCTCTTGCCTGGCGCCAATTTCGAACCAAATTGTTGGAGTTTCACTTCTAGGCTATAGTCATAGAATCGATGTACAAATCGTTCCCGAGAATCGGTAGATATATTAACTGAGTTCAAGAGTGGAAATTAAGAAAAGAAGATTTGATTGCTCAGTGCACTATTTTTATGCATGTATGGTTTTCATACTTGATAATGTTGAAATTATTTCGTTCACTCTCGTTTCATTTTTATATTTTAATATCAATTACAATAGATAAGGCTCCTGGACATCTTACTTGTATATATAATATATTTGGCATAATCCAAGATTAATATAAATACCGAAAATAAAAACAAAACCGAGGCATTCGATCATATACAAATGTGACTGCATTTGATTGTCAAAATCGCTTCGCTTTGAACAAATGTTATACATATGTATGTATGATGCATTTTATTACTTTGCTATATTCGTATAACCTATTTATAATGTTAAAATTAGCTAACAGTGCTATCTAATATATAATATGTGTGCCAATGCATGTGTGGAAGTCAATATTAATATAAACCTACCCATAAGAAATATATATTAGGGCGCGACAATATTCTTCGG